TTCAAAACAACAGCTTATCTTCCCAAGGAAATCAGCTCCTCAGACAATGCTGAACAGCCCCCTCAAGCTCCACCCTAACAGAAGTCCATAAATGCCCCAGCTTTCTTTGTCTCAGGCCCGAGGATCTACCTGCCCCGTCTGCCCTCGATCCTTTCCATGTCTTTGGAGTTAATAAAGGCTTCTTTTATCTTTCCTAGCTCTTTACTGCACTGCCGAAAGACCTATCACAAATCACCATTTGTACACACACATCTACACACACACACACACACACACACACACACACCTGTTATAATTTTCATAATAACCTGATCCAGAAAAGGTCCAGCCAAATAAACAGGATCAAGATAGCACCACCAGCACCTTCTTTCTGACCTTACACATAACCAAACATGGAACTCTGTGACCCATGTCTACCAAAACTCCAGGTTCTGGGCTGGAACTACATTCATTTACTGGACCATTTCTCAAGCAATTCCTATGCATTTTAAATAAATTATTCCTATTTCCATAATAATCTTGGATGTTAAGAATCATCATCCCACTTAGAGACAAAGGAAGTATGGAATAAGGTGGTGGTATTAACTCAGGAAGCTTCAGCAGACAAATCCTAGCCTCTTGTGTGGAATGAGCATGGCGTTTCAAGAGCACGGTCAACAGCAAGTGAAAAGTGGCTGCATTTATTAATAATCAAGGGAAGATGTGTTCGGCGCAAGTCCTTGCCAACAAAACCGCGGCATGAACAGAAAAGCAGTGCTGGGAAGACAGGAAAGAAAGAAGCAGCGCACAGAGAGACCCAGTTGTCTAAATGTAAAGGGTGGGTGCCCCAGCCGGGGTGCCTCCCACTAGTCTTTGGGGGGACACTGACAGGGTGCTGAAGCACCTCAGAGGCTTTCAATGCCATGCCCCAATTCACTCTGGTCTCAATTCTTCACAAGAGATGTCCTGTGTATTTATGAAAGTGACCAAAGGTCAAGCCTGGAGATCCACAGCACCTGAGCTTTCTTGTCTAGGGCTTCAATATTTCCTGGGTCTTTGTTATTTATTTTCTACCTCTTTGGTAGTCAGTGTTTGCAAGAGAACAGATTTAATTCAGGCCACAGAAATTTACAAGAGCAGCTTACAATATCTGCCCAGACTCAGAGGTAGAATGGTGCAGGAGATCTGTCCGTACTCTAGAGGCCGAGGACTCTGAGGAGTCTGCAATGCAAAGGCCAAGTGTTGGTTCTGGGGGCTGGCGAGTCTGCAGGCCATGTGGAAGGTGCTGCCAGAGGCTGAAAGAATCTGCAGGGAACAGGGAGTCAAGGCCTGAGACAAAGGCCAGGAGCAGAGATCCCCCAAGAGAACAGCAGCCAACCTTGGGGAAGGCAGAGCTCAGCCCAGCTTCTCACAGGAAAATCAGTATAACTCCTCCCCTCCTATTCTCCTTTTATACCCATCCCCAGAACCACACTGACCCAATTCAGCTGGCCATTCCTGCTCACTAGAACCATCAATTAAGTGACCAACGCACTCTTAAGACAACAGAAGGAAGAGTGGCCCAGGGTGTTTCCCAGACTCACATGGCTGAAGGACAGTGATTTCCTTAGCCCACTGGTCTACCTGTACTGAAAAGATGGCAACTCTGAGGTCACACAGAACCCTGCAAGAATAACTTGCCCAAATCAACTTGACTATCTCTTGGCCTTACTCAACTCCAGGTGAAAGACTTAGAAGACATTACAGTTCCCTTTTATCCTGTGTTTTTACCCATTTTCAAATCATTCTGTTTCACCCAAATACACAGACAGCTGAGAGGCTCTGGAGGAGGTAAGATCCCAGTCTGACAAGGCGCAATCGCCTATTTTCTTCATCTTCTATTAAGCAGAGAAAGACATGTGAAGGATGCCTATGATATTCCCAGAATCAATGTTAAGAAAAAGAAAACACTTACCATGAAGATGGGACTATACTTTGAAATGATTACATACTGAAAACTAAATTCTAGAACCCTGTCTTCAAACCTCTTCATTAAATGACAGCAGACTAAAAACTATTAAATAACAGAAAAAGTGTCTCTACATACCTACAATTATCTGACAAAAAAAAAAAAACAAAACAGTGATTCTGTTAGAAAGAAAAATGATTTCTCTACAGATGAGCCCCAAACCCAAGCGGAGTGGTAAGCACACCTAACAGGGTGATCACACTGCCCCACACAGAAGGAAGGGGAAGGCACCGCAGTCCCAGCCACAGACACCACCTCTTCAGTATCTACCAGTAATGAACAACTGAGTCACTTTTAACTTCAAGGCCTCTAACAACTCCAGAATTCAAGTTACAAACCTCCTTCCTCATCCCTGTGTAACAAAAAATCTCTATATTCTAATTTTTGCCGATACTGAGTATGATATGAATTAGCACTGAAGAGAAGGCTCAACTCTAGAAATTACAGGAAATTCCTAAAGTCAAAAGCATCACAAACCCCTTTACAGTGTTCTTCACTATTTCATAAAAGAAAAACCATCTTGTGGGGGCTAATATTATCTTCCAGAATTTTCTAAATTTCCAGAAGATAAATTCATGTTGGGCCTACGATTCAAATCAGATTTCCAAAACCCAAACTAGAAGCAGAGCGTGGACAAAGATGAAGGAGCAGAGAGTATCACAGGAGGGAAAGGCACAGAAGACGTAGCTCAGAACTGGTGGCGCACACAGGGGCCACGGTCTATGAGGCATTCGGCCACGCGCTCACCCACAATCACACTCCCAACTCACGCAGTATCCTGGTCTGTGCTTTCTTTCTACAGACAAAGCGCCATGAGATCCAAAGTAGCACATCGCTTGTGCTCTTCTATTCTGCAAACTCCACAGTCTTTTCCTGGAACTTCAGCCTTTTCCCTAACCATCCGTAAAGCAGTGAGACCCAAATGCAGACAGCACACAGGAGAAGTCAGAACACCCAAGCTCCCGATCCTGTTCCTGTCCCAGCACCGAGTGCGTGAGTGCCCACCCAACCTGCTGGGATCTCAGTGTCCGTCCTCACCTAAACAACAGGAACGTGCGCTTCCAGTCTTCACTAGACTACTCCAGGCATCCAGTGAGGGCAGTAATATTAATCCCTTTGGAAACACCATCATGTACTGTTACTACAGTACATTCCTAGGCAAAGAGATGCTGAGCACACCTGAACTGTAGGTCCGTTATTTGTGTGAAGAGAGACTCCCAGTTTCCCACTCTGTGTGGGCACCATTTCTTCAAGCTTGAATGAAAAGCGCACGGCTCCTTGCCACGCTTCACAGCATTGAGTCCTTCGCATTTCCCCAAATCATTTTCACTCTTCATTTCCCCAAAAGAGGTGAAAGTCAAAGGAAATGGGCTTAGAGAAGGGACGGAAGTGATGCACCACAGAACCATTGCCGGCACGCTTCAGGGCCCAGGGCTCTCGCCGCACAGGCCCTCGCCTCGCTCGGGCTTCCACTGGATCTCCCTGCACACGCAGCTGCACTTCCCGGCCACACACACACTTGTGCTTCCATGTTCCTGCTGGGGGCCCAGCTGCCAGTCCCTGGCACTTCCTATCATATCTTATCAATCATTTCTATTGGGGACTTAAATCATGGCGTGCAGAGATAAACAGAACCTTAGAAACCTGGATATTACACTTTTTTCCACCCAAGCCAGCAGCAGGCTGCTGGTTTCTCAAAGATCACAAAAGACCAGAGTTCAGACCTGAATTCAGTCCCCGCCACCCCTGCAGAACAGCCCCCCATCGCTGATGTAAGTCTGTGCTATTTATTCCCACTGTCAGGCAGATAAATTCATTGCTTGTTTTTTTATTTTATAACCAAAATATTTCATCTTGAAAATCAAAGTATTATTCTCAGTCTTTTGGCAAGGCACCAGCACGTGGATTAAAGCATAAAGGCAAACTTCTCAGGGGCACGTGACTGGGTTTTTCCCCGCCTTGTGTGCCTAATCTCATACTGCAGTTATACGAGCAAGGACTAAGGACAGCACTGCCACTCTGGGGACGGCTCTTTGACAGTTACTTACCTGCAGGAAGTTCAGCATTATGCCACATCACTTCATAATCTAAGTGCAGCTTTTGAAAGACTGTTTCTTTCACCAGCATCTTAATACATACAAGCATTTAGTGCACACAAGTAATAACAGTGACTAGTAAAACAATTTCTATGTGAAGAGTATCACTAAACTCTAACAAACATCTGACAAAAACCAAGCAACAGGAATTGCTCAAATCTGTGGCTAGGGATGTAGCTGAGTGGGAGAGCCCTTGCCCAGGATATACAAGGCTCTGGCTTCGATCCCCAGCACAGAGGCAGGGAGGGAGGGAGGGAAGAAGGGAAGGAGGGGGTGAGGGGGCTATGGGGGGAGGAGGTACCCTCCCGAGTACCGAAGAGCAACATCCTTAACTTCCAAGCACTGGATGCATTCCAAATATAGAGAAAACTGATGTGGAAGAACGCTGATCCTCACACTGCAGTGCCGATTACCTACTGAAAGGATGGATAATGGTAATCATGCCCTTGAAGGCAACCAGCAGAAAATATTATCTCTGGATAGATAATCTTTATGGTGCTTTATATTAGCAAGCAACATCATATTTTTATTTATTTATTTATTTATTTGGTACAGGGTCTCACTACGCAGCTCAGATTCATAGTGATCCTCCTGTCTCAGCCTCCCCAGTGCTGGGATTACAGCTGCACACCACCACACCCAGTTTCGGTGGCCAGCACAGCATGTAGAACTGGGGATCGAACCCAGGTCCTTGCACTTGCCAGGCAGGCACTGAGACCACTGAGCTAGCTCCCCAGCCCAAGGCAACTTCAAATCCATTTGTAAAGTGGTTGGTACTTGATTTTACTCTTTTGGCATGCTGCTTTTTGTCTGCTAAGCCACCTATAGGTAAGATTGAATTATATGTCATGTAGGTAGATGAACCACTTAAGTAAACAATATTTGCAAAGAAAAATAGTATTTAAAAATTCAATTACCTTCCCGAAGTCACGAACATCAAACAGGTCAAAGGCCTCGAAGAGTTCACTTTTCTTCATTCCAAATATCTCACAACAGGCCGTGAGAAACGTCCGAATGTTCTTCAAACAGAGAAACTGAGGAACAGAAAACAGCCGTCAGCACGCAGAGAACTGATTGCAGCGCTACTCAGCCGCAGCTGCGCTCGGTTCTAACTGCCCGCTCCGTCACACGCTTCCATTCACACTCCAAGACTGCCAAGAACAAATACAACAAACCCAAAAAGCGACGATCACTGAAATAGAGAAAGATAAAGCTAAGAGAAGGAATCAGGCGAGTTGGCGAGAGGGAGGTGGGAGGAGCTGAACCTGGAGGGTTAGAATGTGCCTGGCGAGCGGGAGGAGGCGGGCAGCCCAGAGCCCAGGCCTCGGGAGCAGCCGGCCAAGCCACAGCCCACAGGCCTCGGCCCTGCGCCCCGCGCCAGGCCCTGAAAGAGTGGCGAGATCGAAGGCTGGGGGAAGATAGGCGCTTAATCCCCGAAGTACTGGGTCAGAGGAGGACCACTGTCTAGACAGCTTTTACTCTGACCCGCGTGGAAAGTCACTGCAGGCTTTGGACCAGACAAGGACAAAAATCTAACATCTTCAAAGAGTTCTCAGGCCACAGCGTTGAATACACGGTGAAGTAGCTCAAGGCAAGGACGAGGCTAAAAAGTCAGGCGGCTACTGCAGTCATCCAGGTGAAAGGCAACCTTAGGAAGGGCAGCCGCTGTGTCTGACTGTGTTAGATCAGAGAGGACAGGCCCATTAGCCAGCCGCGGGATGCAGGACCACAGCTAGCTACAAAATCCAGGAGTACAAGAGACGGGTGTGGACTTTAGACAGAACACTGGGAGGCTCACAAGCATTCAAACATCTGAAAGGACTCTGGGAAAGAGGAGGAGAGAGAAGCGGACCCAGGACCTGGACATTTTAGGAGAGGAGGAAAATAGGAAGAGCCTGCAAAGGAGTCTGGGAAATAGCAGTGAGGAAAGAGTAAAACCACACTGGTTTCTTTGAAGCCAAGATTCTAACTAGAGGAAGTGACAAACTGCCAGATGCTACAGATGGCCCAGGAAGATTTAAATCAAATGCTACCCATGAGATTTGGCATGTGAAGGTCATGAATACCTTGACAGAGGTAGGTGCTGTATGGGGGACTGGGGTGAAAGGTTGTTCAGAGCAGACCCAAAGACAATGGGAAGGAAATGGAGACAGGATAGACTCTTGAGTGGCTGCATGGGAAACGAAATATAGACGTCAAGGAAGGTTCCCCCCGCCAAACAATGAAAACCACTATGTTTCTACTGTGATGAGAATGACTTGAGGGGAAAGTGAGTCCCACAGAAGAGTCCCACACAGAGGAGGCCCAGTGGCGCACACGAAGTCCTTGAACAGGCAAAGAGGAGACCAAGAGCTGTTCAAGGGCAAAGCCCCATCTTCGCAGCAGGGTCAGCTCACGCACACCAACAAGAGCGAGGCAGGAGAGGCCGCCGCTATCAGCAACCCGAAAGCCAGGAGTTAGGACTCACGTTCAGTATCTGCAAGACTCAGATCCGCCTAAGCAAGACCCTAAGGCTGAGCCAACTGCTTCTAGAAATGCGAGCTACAACGGCATGCTTTTGAAAAACCACCGTGCAGACATATAAACAAACAGATGAGGTCTATTATATAGCAATCACACCAAAATAGTTTTACACTTGAACAAAAAAATAACCTAAGTGAACATCTTAATGAATTACTGCATCTTTGCTTTTTAAAGCACTGTCAAAAAATACTTGATTTTGGGT